AGTCACAGAAAAATTACATTTCATGGTGGTCACACAAATTGAAGCTCCTATCAAATGGCTGTAAATGTTTAAAAAAGTATGATGATGGACCTAATTGCTACTTAAAAAAAAAAATTAATGGCTTATTACAATAAAAATGTTCAATTCACAGTGGCTTGGAATGGGAACTAAAAATATAAGTATATATGCCAGTATCTGACCAAAATGTGTCTTTCAGAATCATAGAAAGACAGCTCAACAATCCTGGTTACAGAATTGACACAGTTAGGAGCTGGAGGAACACAGCAGGCTAGGCAGCATCAGAGGAGCAGGAAAGTTGATGTTTTGTGTCAGGAACCTTCTTCAAACCCAACCCAAAATGTCAACTTTCCTGCTTCTATGATGCTGTCTGGCCTACTGTGTTTCTCCAGCTCCACATTATGTTGTCTTTGACTCCAGCACCTGCAGTTCTTGCTATCTCTGGTTACAGAGTTTTCAGTTTTTGTTGGGACAAGGTGTGGAATAAAAAGGTTGGGTGAGTATATGGTTAAACAAATAATCAGGGAGGTGATGGCATAGTGGTAATGTCACTGGACTAATAATCCAAAACCTTAGGCTGATGTTTGAGGGACATGTGTTTGAATCCCACCATGTCAGATGGTGAATTTGAATTAAATAGAAATCTGGAATTAAAAACCCTTATGGCCACCACATATCTACATTGATTGTTGTAAAAACTCATTCAGATCACTAATATCCTTTAGGGAAAGGAATCTGCCATCCTTACCTAGTCTGGTCTGCATGTGACTCCAAACCAACAACCATTTGTTGACTCTTAACTGCCCTCTGGACAATTAGGAGTGGGCAATGAATACTGGCTTAACCAGCAACATGCAACTCCCATGAACAAATAAAAAGATATTCACAAATGGAATGAAAGATGATATGCCAGTGGGCTAATCAAATAAGACCACATGGTTTGAATTAAAGTATAAAACAGGATAGTCCCATTGCTGAGACTATAATTTAGAAGCCCAAACAGTTATAGGGAGAAAGAGGAGCAAAGGAAAATTCCTGAGAAATACAGAAACAAGGCTTATAATAATAGGGGAGTCCAATTATCCAAAAATTAACAGGGATGAATAACAGTGTAAAAGAAAGATGGTACAGAATTCTTTAAATGGAAGCAGGATGACTTTTTATTTAGCCAATTAATTAAAATGCCCAACAAGAGACAGGACATTTCTGGGCCTAGCTTTAGTGAATGGAGTTGGACAGGTAATAGTGGTATGACTGGGAAAGCATTTTGGTGATCATGATCAAAATATAATTAGATTTAAAGTAGCCACACAAAAAGAACAGTACATACCAGAAGTAACAGTTCTTAATTACAGAAGTTAAGGGGAGTCAGTGGTGTTATGGTAATGTCACTGGATTAGTAATCTAGATGCCCTGGTTACTTTTGCAGATGACACAGATAGGTGGAGGGAAGGTAGTGATGAGGAAGTGGGAAGGCTGCCGAAGGATTTGGACAGGCTAGACTGGCCAAATAAGTGGCAGATGGAATACAATGTGAGAAAGTGTGAGGTTATGCACTTTGATAGGAAGAATGGAAGCATAGACTGTTCTGTAAATGAGGACAATGTTTGGAAATCTGAAGCACAAAGGAACTTAGGAGTCTAGGTCAGGATTTTCTTAGGGTTGACATGCAGGTTCAGTTGGCAGTTAGGAAGGCAAATGCAACGTTTGCATTCATTTTGAGTAGTCTAGAATACAAGAGTGGGGATGTGCTGCTGAGGCTGTAAAAGGCTCTGGTCAGACCACATTTGAAATATTGTGAGCAGTTTTGGGCCCAACATCTAAGGAAGGATATGGTGACCTTGTAAGGGGTCCAGAGGAGGTTCACAAGAATGATTCTGGGAATGAATGGCTATCACATGAGGAGCAGTTGAGGATTTTGGTCTGTACATGATGAAATTTAGGATTGGGGGGAGGGTGGGGGTGGTGCAGAGATCTGATTGAAACTTACAGGATACTGACAGGCCTAGATAGAGTGGACATGGAGAAGATGTTTCCACTAGTAGGAGAGAATAGGACCCGAGGGCACAGCCTCAGAGTGAGGGATGACCCTTTAGAACTGAGATGAGGAGGAATTTCTTCAGCCAGAGGGTGGTGAATCTGTGGAACACATTGCCACAGAAGACTGTCGAGACCAAGTCATTGAATGTCTTTAATACAGAGATAAATATGTTCTTGATTAGTAAGAGGCTCAAAGGTTACAGCAGAAGGCAGGAGAATGGGGTTGAGAAACAGCAGAATGGCAGAACAGACTCAATGGGCCGAATAGCCTAATTCTACACCTACATCTTATCGTCTTATGGTCTAACTCTCTACGGACATTGGTTCCAATTCCACCATGGCAACAAGTGAAATTTAAAATCAATTAATAAATCTTGAATATAAAGTTAGCCTCAGTAATGGTGTCATAAAACTATCATAAATTGTCATACAGACCTATTTAGTTCACTCATGCTCTTTAGGGAAGGAAATCTGCCATCCTTAGCTGATCTGGTGTACATGTGACTCCAGACTCACAATAATGTGGTTAACACTAAACTGCAAGCTATTCAATTCAAGGGCAAATCAGGATGAGAAACAAATACTGGCCTTGCTGGTGAATCCTGTAAAATTCCATTAAATAATAGTGATAATGGGAAATGTCAATTTTACTAAGCCACTATATGATTTAATAAAAATGAACAGGAAACTGCTACTTGAAGGTAAAGAAATAGAAAAGCAGTGGCAGGCCTTCAAGGAGGAGATATAAAGAGTTCATAACAAATATATTCCCACAAAGAATAAAGATGGGACTTCCAAATCTAGACCTGATTGAATGTCAAACAGCATTCAGGGTAGGATAAGGCAAACAGGAATATTTGTCACATTCCTGAGCTCATTACTGCAGAATGGCTAAAGGAGTACAGAAAGTGCAGAGGAAGTTAGAAAAACAAAGCAAGGGCATGGGGAAAAAAAACCAACAAAATTAAGGAAAACCAATAACGTTTTATAACTATATGAAGAGAATACGAGGGCCTACTTGAGACTACAAAGACATCAATTATGTGGATTGTAGGCATGTGACAAAGAAATAATTTCCTCTTCACAAAAGAGGGGATGGTGCAGACATTGCAGAAAGCGGGAAGCTTAAAGAAAAATTGTAACTGATCAAAAACTGATCAACTTGGTTAAAATGTTCTGAGCACAAAAGTGGATCAATGAAGGTAGTTAATTTGATGTCATTTATATGAATTTTAGAGTTACTTTTGACAAGGTCGCACATAATCAGAAAATTAGATGACCATGGGATTCAAGGCAAATTGGATCCAAAATTGGCTCAGTGGCAAGAAGAATGAGATAATGGTCAATGGGTATTTGTTACTGAAAGGCTGTTACCAGAAGGGTTCAGTAGGGGTCAGTACTAGGTCCCCTGCATTTCATGGTATATATGATAGTTTAGACTTAAATTTAGGGTAATGATTAAGAAGCTTGAGGTGATACAAAATTTGATTATATGCTCATAGTGGGGAAGAAGAAATAAATACAGGAAGATTTGAATGGGCTGTTAAGCAGGACAGAAAATTAGCAAATGGAATTCAATCTGGAGAAATGTAAGGCATTGTATTTGTGGAGGGAGAGCAAATAAAGCAAAGAAATACATAGCAAAGACAGGATTGTAACAGGATACTGAGAAATTAGCAAAACAAACAGATCTTGGAGCGCATGTCCACATTTTCTTAAAGATAGCTGAATAGGTAGGTAAGCTGGTTATGAAAGCATAGATTATATATGTTTGTACATGGAAGATCTCCCTTTATTAGCTAAGGCACAAAATATGAAAGCAAGGAGGTTATGCTAGAACAGTATGAAGTTGTAGTTGAGCCACAGTTAGAATATTGCACACAACTGTTGTCGCCAGAGAGGGTACACAGGGCATTCACAATGATGTTTGTTAGGAATGATGAATTTTAACCACTAGGAAACATTGGATAGGCTGGAGTCATGTTCTTTGGAAGAAAAAAGGGTGAGGGAAGATGACATTGAGGTATATAAAATTATCAAGGCCCCAGATTGAGTGGATCTGAATAATTTATATCTCTTTTAGCAGAGTCATCAATAACTAAGCTGCCTATATTTAAAGTCATTGGAAGTAGGATTCACATGGAGCTGAGGAAAAATATTTTCATCCAGAGGATGGTGGGAGCTTGGAAGTCATTGCCTGAAAGTGTGCTAGATGCAGAATTCCACATTGTGTTTAAAAAATATTTGGTTATGATGTGCCATACTTGGCAGGGCTACAAACCAACAGTTAAAGACTGGGAACAAAAACAAAGTTGCTGGAAAAGCTCAGCAGGTCTGGCAGCATCTGTGAAGAAAAAAAGAGTTAACATTTCGGGTCCAG